TTGCACCACGCGTTCGAAAACCCTGTAAAGTTTGTTTTGACGATTCAGTATTCAGATGCAACAATCGTGGCCGCGATAAATTTACGAGGCTATCTGCGTACGCATTACAAACCGGTGACTAAAGTTAAAGCCAGCATGTTCTCAACTCTCACACAGCCTGTGTATAATGACCTAAGGCGATATCGGCCGACCTCTCAATAGTCGACGCGCGTTCGATTCGGTCATTCATTTGGATTTTGTCTGTTATTGACGTAATCTCTTGATAATATCCCAGGACCTACTTCATTTCGGGGAATACCTTTGTGTATCGAGTATTTAATAGACCTTTCACTCTATTGTAGTTCTCACCATCAGTTATCTGTTAACAGTATACTGTGAACTGATTTACCGTGACAGCGTGCAATATATACGTATTAAGATTTCTGTCTGTCATTACTTAAACGTACAAAAATTTGTGCCATTGACTTTGAGAAAACAAACGCACAATGCGTCACGGGTCCACGGTTCAGATATTTCTCTCACAGAATGACGAAAATTTACTCAATTGTTACTTTTAACATTACTAAATTAAATGTGGCTGTTTATAAAAACACCCACGTTTTGATGATGAATCATTCCCTTACTTTTTTTTGGTTCTAAACGAAAAACAAAAATATTTGCTGAGTGCTGATAGTGAACCATTATTTTACTTACATATATTTGAACGAATTCTTGTGGTTTACTTTGGTATGAATGCAAGATTGTTGCTATGAAGGACACCGGATGCCGATGCGGTCAAATTATTCGGTTCGCGAACCGAGTTAGAACGGCCGCGTATCCGGTCAATTGAGCTTCGAAATTCACTAATTAAGGATTCATGTCTTAGATCATAAATAACAAACCCGTTGCTGATTAATTCATTTGATAGAAACGCATCTAAAATTAATTTATACTTTAAAGAACTAAAACGTGTAATGTCCAAAATCTTACATAAATATGCGTCCCATTTTTATGATCAAATTAGCTTTTCGAACAATCAAAGAACTCCTTTGAAGATAATCCATCAACGTTTTCTTGAAGATATGAATTAATGAGTGACGTGAGAAAACGATATCGTTAGCGACCAAGACATACTTAAACTTACTAATTAATTTAATATAGACGATTACAAAAAGATACTATATAAAATAACAAAAGGGAATAGAGCTGTAATAATGGATATAACATTAGAAAGGAACCATCGGAACTGAATGATACCTTGTCAGTTATTTATTGTTGGGTAATTACAGATTTGTGATGGATAGCCTTAAATCCACACTTGATTCTTTACCGTCTTAAAACATTCCAGATCCCAAATATTAATTTCAAACCGCATCTCTTTTATAAGTCCCATATGACACTGAATGTCTATTTTCCATATTGTATATTGTGTTGTATTCAACTAGGCCACTAGATCAATGGAATTGTAACAGAATAGTACTGCATCAAAATATCAAATGTACTCTTTAGTCCGAGGGCCCGTGCTCGACGTACGTCAATAAACAAGCCGATACACCAAAACAGACGCACAGAAAAGGGGACGAGTTTTGTTTAGATGTTTTTATAAATATGTATCGAGAGCTGCCCTTTGAACTGCAATAATCATATAACTGCTTTTTATTAACCCTGACACAAAACAGCTGGTCGTGCTGTGTAGAAACAGAGTATGTATTCATTGAATCTTCACTCAAAGCATCACGATACATCTGCCTGAATCAGCTGATCAATGAGTACGTCCAGGTAAGATTTTTTTTCATATAATTCGACTGTCAGCTGTTCAGTGTCCGCGCGCTTTAAATCATCATAAGTTCCGACCAACACTGCTGGTGGCAGGTGCCTGAATGGAATTCACAAATTTTTCAATGTTCGCCCTATACTTGGTTGCCGATATACATCTGCTTACATACGTGATACCAAAAAACGGTTTTTTTTTGGAACCTCGAAATTAACTATCAATATAAGTAGAAATTCTTTTAAAATTATTGAAGGTCCTAAATATTTTTATTTCTAAATATATTGTTAATTATCTATGGATATGTTATCTAATGTTTTATCTATAGTCTATGGTCTGTAATATTTGTTTAATATTTCGATCCTGAAAACATAGTGTTATCTTTCACGAATCTTTTTTCGCATCCGTCCATGTGTATGTATATAAGTAACACAGAACAGTTCTTACTATTAAATAACTTGGACTCTATATATATTAACACACTGGCTTTACTTTTTTTAAAAGGATACATTTCACACTAAAATTCTTATAGACTTTTTGTTATGTGAATATTAATTTTGTTATTAATTCTAAAACTAAAATATTATATACAAATAGATAAATAATGTTACAAAGTCCATTGTGCGTGAGTAGATCTGCTGACTTGGAGTTTTTTAATACGCCTTACTTTTATTTAAGAATGTTTATATTTACGCAATCTGTAGTGAAGAAACAAATCATACGCAAAATATATTGATCGTAATTTTTCAACAAAAATATTTTTATTTATACGTAGGTTTGTTCCTTGTATACATCAAACCAAATAATATTTCATACAAGGGTTATGTAACAAGAATGTAAAGCAAATTATGCAAGTGAAATATCTACATGCTTGTAATAAATACATGTCTGTGATCAAGTATAAACACTTTGAACACGCTAGATCTAGTTTATGTTGAAGGAAGAAGTTATTACGTAAGTATGAAAGATATCTATAATTTAGATCTCAATAGTATTGGTATCTGGTTCCGTCACATTACGAACAGCTGTTAAGACGCTTTCCTTTAACAAACAAAAGGTGATGCTTCAGCAAATAAGATCTCATCTCTTGTATTATTTTGTACATACCATCCGTATGATCATTGTATAGTAGAAAATATATATGAATAAAAACATTGATCATAAATATTATTATACAAGTAATTACATCCGTCGAAATTGGATGTAAAATTTTATTTTTTTTTTACACAACAGCTTTCTGCGAGTCAAATTAAATGCAATAACATTTATATAGTTGTTAATTATCCGATGTGAAAGGTATTATTGTACATTAATATTCCTTTATCAAATCAACATTACATTTTAAAGGCATGTGCATGCTTCGTTTCCCATCAGTAGCTAGCACATGTCACGCAGGAATTTGACCCGCCTCAGATGTCTGTATACTGTGTTGCTACACAATTAAAAACCTTACATTATATCCAACATCGAAGATGCAATTATTCGTTTATAACTTTATATACAGTATATAGAAAGGTAGTTTAATGCTATGAAGAAGAACATTAACATATACAATAATATTAAATTTAGAATTTTTATGATTCGCAAAAATTTCATAAAATAACTCACATGAAATAATTTATAGTCACGTCAATGAATGTCGTCAAAAAAATTTTTAAACGAACAAACACACCGGACGCACTATAAAAACGACCCCCACTTAGTTATTGATGGCTTTCTTTTAACGATTACAAATGAATTTTTATTTTATTACATGTTTCTTAATTACTGTCAGCCCTCGTGAACACTATGACGTCTGTGAAGCGTAAAAATTTGACAATCAACATATTTTATTGCGAAACGAAATAAAATAAATTATGGACTTCACATACAATACCGTGGGTTGGAGACACTTAACTTTGATATATGGAATTATTATATATATTGATAGAAGACTTTACGACACTAATTATTTAACAATCATTGGGATGTCTCACTCTGGTAATTAGACACTATTAAACTTCAATGTTTTGAACAAGAATAAAGAATATTTGTATATTATATAGAGAGTCAGCATAACGTACGGTATATAGTTTTTTAAGGATCTTAAGTATGTCCCAACCACGAGACCGTGTTTAAATAACTTAAAGTTGTGGCAACACTTTTGATTATCGACTTATTTAGGAATGTTAGAACTTCCAACATTTACTTTAGAACGAGTTTTAATGACGTGGATAATTAAGATAAAAAAATAAAAGCAAATTACAAGGATTGCAGAATAGTCTTATTAAAATAATAAGTTTTGCTATGTGGCTAAATAATTATATGTATGGTTAAAATGACAAACTGTTATAAAACAAAGAAAAAATAAGATTTCACGAACAAACAACGAACGAGGCCTAAATTTAATTTGAAACACTTCAGCATTTAGAAAGGCATTTCAAAAGGTGAAAGTCATGTGCATCTTGCTTTGCAAAAAACTCGCATCTCTGTGCGGCCTTGTCAAGGTGAGTGGCAAGGGGACATAACGGTGCGCCTGCGCAGCGCACCGGCCGTACAGGACCCGACTCTCTAAAACACCTACTAATGTACAACAACGCCAGTTTCAATATACATCGACAGCTCAATAGGACGTTATAATCGAACTGTTCCTTTAGACAACCGTCATATCATACCAACTACAGTATCCGCTCGACTGCAGTGCTTTCTACGTGGGAACGAGACACGTATCGTTCATTTCCTTTCAGAAACCTACAGCTTAATAGCTCGCCTAATATGGCGTACAATATTTTGAACAATTCAAACACGTATTTTAGTTACTTTAATGGAAGAACCAGTTATATCTAACTGTGTCATCTTATGGGGATAAAAATAATAAAGAACGCTTTTTAATATTTGTAAACAATCAAAAACACTTTGTGTAAATGTTTATTATTCAGCCATTTTAAAAAGCGAGTTCTAAAAAAAGTATGTCGAAAAAAATAAATGATGTCGTTTAATTTTGCGACATTTCAGCCAACAATATAAATTCTAAGCGAATTTTCTTATAAAGGCGACTGAAATGTTTTATGTTTGGATATAAACCGGTATCTGCTTACTGCAGAAATGGTTCAACTTAAACACACAATAACAAATATGTATATAGCAACTGTATAAATGAACTTTCTTGAAGTTTGATATAAATAATAAACATTCTTAGAGATATAGAAAATGAATACTCATTACATGCACAGCACCCCAAATAATAAAATGAAAGTTGGAGGGGTCGTACCCCAATGAAAGGGCGACTTACTATTTGACTGATCTCGGTGATAGGGATCGGGGAAATTGTTTTGTCGGAGCCTTGCGGGAGAGATGAAAGCACTGGGGGTAGGGGAGACCCCAGGGGAGCCAGGGGTCACGTTCACCATGCTCTCCTTGGAGGTTGCGGTTGGGGAGACAACCTCGCCGGGAAAGCTGAGGGTCTTCGTCCACTGCGACAAGCTTCGCACCATCTTGACTGTCCATAAGCACTACGAGTTCACTGAACTCTCGATCGCGAGCTAAGCGATACGTGCGCTCATCCACGACGTCGGCGGACGAAATGCGATGCCATCAGAACTTACAGGCCGGTGGCTGTGGTCAAGTTTGCGACGTGTACGAGGACGAGCTTGTGTGCGTGCTGCGTAGGGTCACTGAATGTGCTGTGTGTGTGTGTGTGTGAGTGTGCAGTGTTGTATCACACGGACTGGTATAGGAATCATGGATTGGGACCAACCGCTGAGGACCGAGTCTTTTGTTTACCCGATAGGGCGGCCTTATCGCTTCTCAATAAAATTACCACTGTTCTGAAATTAGTTTCGCATAAAAAAATATTAATTCACATTTATACGGTGGGACTATGTGTATTGTGACTAATATTACTTTTTACGATCCGAAAACAAAGGAATTGAAGGATTTAAATTCGTTTTTTTCATATTAATGTATCGTTACTTGGCAATGGTGAATGGGGTAAACATACAAATTACTGTTACAGACTATGTAGGACATGTTAGCATGTATATATGTTACTATAAAGTATCTAAACATTAGTAAAGAAGTGTCTTTATAAGATAACAAGATCAGTCTTTGTCCCCGCAGTCCGAACTAGTTTGTCAACAAAGCCTTTCGTCCTAATCGAATTCATGTTCGAACAAGTTTGATTTTTAAACATTTTTTTTATCATTTGATCCCTCGAACCGGTGGTCTAAATGTTGGTCTGTATCAAATTATAATAACATTTAAATTTAAGACTTTCAGTTTTACAGTCTGCAAAAGTTTTAGCTTTCTATATAGTACTCTCAAAAAGTATTATTCAACAAGGTAATTTAAATGAGTTATCGCAGCTGCTCTTTTTGAGTCCAAGGTATAAATTATCGATGCAGTTTTAGTGTGTGGCCTGTGCCGATTGTTATCCAAGAGCTCATATCACGTCAGGCGGCTCACGGACTGCACTGAAACAATGCAACGCTCTCTCAGTCCGTTGCGTGTTTACTTCCGACGGGCCACGTGCGCACACAGCTGCCAATCGCCCGCAGCGCATGCTCATAAGTGCAAAGCTTTAAGTAGTTTTTTGAAAGAAAAAAATCGAGATGCTTGTAACGATTTTCTCTTTTGTTGCATTGAGATGGTTTGTAGCTTAGTAGATATAGAATAACCCAGGAATTGTATTACTTGTGAACAAATTACTGGAACATATACTAGAATCCTATATGGTATGAACAGCTGTGCGGTTGGTTATATAAACAGTCATAAAAAAAACCGAAGTATCCTAACGGCTAACATCCTGTTCCCCAAACCCATCAATATACAATAATTAATGCCAACTTGCCAAAGACAAACGCTGTCTTTGTGCGGACGCAGTTCACTATTGTTCAATGAGGCACTTATACTATTGAACTTAAAAGTTCCATTAAATTTTAAAACATAGGGGCAGCTATGACTGAACAGAGCCCTTAAGTTGTGAGGGATGGATGCAGATTGATTGAAGTTCATAAATATTCATTAAATACGGGGGAACGTTAATTAATACAGTACAATATTGAGAATCAGTTATTATTGTTGTTACATTTTACATTTATCCTTATTACTCTGGACTGTTTTGCTGTCGTAGATTACCTTATTTCTAAATACTTCAACTCTTCAATCAATTAGAAAAGGATATAACATTGTAAGTAAACCAAATAGATGACATAGATATTGTTGACAAATTTATTTCGTAATATATGTGGACATGCTAATTTTTGTGTTAATATTATATACATATATGGAAGACGACGACGAATTAATTCAGTTACTTTTAGAGTAGTGTATGTATATCATATGTATATACAAAATTTCAATTCTGCAATTAACTCTCTCCTCATTTTTGACGTATTTCTTTGTACTGTAACTTTCACTGCGTGAGTAATGCCATTCTGTAGCGTTAAATGTCCCTACATTCAGTTCGCGTCTTGCCAAGTCACCAAACTGTTATTTTCGGAGGTCGTAAATTAATTTTCGTCACCGTAAAATAACTCCCGTTTATTATGTTAAAAGATAATTACTTGTAAGCCGGTGAAACGGCTGGGGGAGTTTTTTTTAAATATTATTTTATCTTCAACTATTAAGTAATTACTTCCATAGAAATATTAGGGTCACCAAAAAATCTTAATGAATTTTTATTTATACAGACTAAAATGGGGATTATGGTGAAGGTATTATGATACATATTCGCTTCAATTATTCTTTGTGCTCAGATGCAAAGCTTTTCAACTAGCTATGGTTTTTTTATCAAGACGTATGAGAACATTTAAAAGTAAACAAAAATAAGACATCCAATATTAATATTACGGTATTTTAATACTGATTTGAATGACGTTAAGATGTCATTATTTATAATTTTTTCATTTAGTACAACTTTACCATTACGGAGCCTGATTACTTATTGCTTCAATTATTATTCTACAAACATCGTTAGGTTTTTTATAATAGTTATTTGTGTACACAAACTAATACCCCAGCAAACAAACTAAACAAAAAATAAAAATGACTCACATATACTCAGAGAAGGTATACGAGGTGAATATATCAAAAATATTCGTAAAATACTAATTGTTATTTTTAATAGTTATCAAACATGAATGCAACATCAATTGGATACTATATTCTATTGCTATAGAAACAAAGTCTATAATAGTATAAAATTTTGAAAATATATGATAAGTAATAAACCCGTTGAACACGCGCCCAAACTAAACAATATGCAGTACTATAGTTAAATGTCTATAGTTAAACTATTAATCATTTCCTCTAACTTAATTGGAAGTACGCGTGCAGGAAGTGGTCACTGGTGTCTGGATCAAGGTCGGTTTTAACTAGATTTACTATTTTAATTTGTATTTTTACATACATGCATAGATATTTTTTAATACAAAATGAAATTTATTAAATAAATACTAACGTCACATTATCTGTCCTTTTCTTTTTTGATAGTTAGTGTTTAAAGTTACTGAGTACTAGAGAAAAGTCAAAACATAAAAGTTTTTTTTCCTTCATTTTAAGGCCTATAGCCAGTATTTGGTGTGACTGGACCAGGGTAGCATCGTCATCTCAAAAGCAAACAGAATCAAATAGAATATTAAGTACACCAGCTTAATGTAAAAAATAGACAGTAACGGGAGGTTCTTATTCTTCTTGTACAACTCTTCCCTTCTAGCATAATTGCAATGATCTATCTTTGGACTTGCTAAATAATATATTTTCACCTCATTAATTTATTAAATTTATCTCCAAATATTTTATATATTACAAAAATTTTATTTAATTTGCTTAAATCTATTTGTTTACGACACCCTAGCTAGACCATTTAACCAAAAAATTAGCTCATTAACTAAGAGAGACCTGATATTTAAAAGTAACTTACTCCTTATTAGTATAAGCAATATATCCATATTGAATACAGTGCCAAACAAAAATGGATCACCATGCTACCATGTGCAAACCCCATGCCATTAACTAAACAAAGGCAACAAAGCACCATATGTGTCACGGAGAGAAAAACTTAAATAGATTTCACAGGTTCACTCACCACGTGCTGGAGATTCACGTCTTAAGGGGTTTTTGATCTTATAACAAAATAAGTCGAGATTTATATAACAATTTTTTTAAGCCAAGACTTACAAAAAAAAAAAAAATAAGTCCGAATAAAAATACTATGAATCTGTTGTAATCAATAGAAGTAATTTTTTATTTATTTTTGTAAATACACTTTACAATGCAATTTACAGTAAAACGTTGAACACTAGGCTAGGCCTGTATCGTGGACATCGATTCATTTTTAGATGGGATTCAATAATTTACTAAGCTTATAATAATAGTAAATTACAATCACATAGAAAAATAAGTGATTTATTAATACTTTAAATTTGTTAATAATTTTTAAACAATTCTATTGGTGTTTTATATCAATGTTATTTTATATTTAATTAAAATCATTAGTATGTGTATCGTTTAAGTCGTGAGTACACGCACGCGACACCACTGTTACAGGAATTGTTATTTAATTCTTAAAACAATCATACGACCTCATTGACTCCGTTTATTTTTTATTGTCTCTGTAATGACATACGTTGTCACGGACGATTTGTGCGTGACTTTTTAAATATTGGCTTGACTTTCATATATTTTTGTGGTAACAGTAGATAAAAAATCTTAGAAATATAATCATACTAGCTTTCCGCCCGCAGCTTCGGCCGCGTGGAGTTCGGTTTATAATCGCGTTTCCAAGAGAACCTTTCAAAAGTCTGGGATACAAAAAACTATCCTATGTTCTTTCTCAAGGTCAACTCTATCTCTGTACCGAATTTCATTAAAATCAGTTCAGTGGTTTAGGCGTGAAAGCGTAGCAGACAGACAGACAGACAGACAGACAGACAGACAGAGTTACTTTCGCATTTATAATATTAGTAGGGATGAATGAATTTATAAGTTAATTTATGGAGAATTTACGGAAATTTGAGTACAAATGTACTTTTAAGGGGACGAAAAATTTATATTAGGAACAAGTTAATTAACAATCAAACTTGGGAAATTTTGTGTTCTTTGTTGAATAACATTCATCGAATTCCATGACCTCATTTCCCTAATAAATTCGTGTAAAACCCAAAATCTTTAGCATTATTCCTGCAACAATTAACGAGCAGACCGATATATTTTAAGTTTATGTATTGTTCGAGTAACACGACAACGAATTCATAACGATGGAGACTCCAGTTTATAACATAACTGTCCACCCTCGTACTCATTATCGGGCGTTATGATAATTTGTTATATCGCCCCAAACTTCTAAAAAACATGTTTCTATTCTTAATCCGAACGCCAAACGTTGCGTCACATGCGCACTCATACTAAAATCCGAAACAAAGAAAGGGCAGAGAACTTTTAAATCATCGAATGCTGAGGTGACATTGATGGCGCGTGTAAAAACAAAATAAACCGAATGACACATTTATTAGAACTGTCACTTACGTTTGACAGGTCATAGTTTTAAAAATATAATTTGTGATAAGGCTAATGCATGTTTAGGTGCGGGACGGATGGGCTACTGGGTTTTAGCTGTCACGTCACAAATGACCTTTAAATTGAACGAGGATTTTATGTATAAAAAAACAACAAAGAAATCATTCGTCGTTTAAAAATCA